ATCATCATCATCATCATCATCATCATCATCATCATCATCATCATCATCATCATCATCATCATCATCACCATCACCATCACCATCACCATCACCATCATCAGCTTCATCATCATCATCCTCATCCTCATCCTCATCCTCATCAGCATCAGCATCATCATCATCATCATCAGCAGCATCATCAGCATCATCAGCATCATCATCAACATCATCAGCATCATCAGCATCATCATCAGCATCATCAGCATCATCATCAACATCGTCATCATCATCATCATCAGCATCATCATCATCATCAGCATCATCATCATCATCATCATCAGCATCATCATCATCATCATCATCATGGTCATCATCATCATCATCATCAGCATCATCATCATAGTCAGCGTCATCATCATCATCATCATCATCATCATCATCATCATCATCATCATCATCATCATCGGCAGCAGCATCATCATCATCGTCGTCGAGATCGTCGTCGTCGTCAACATCATCGTCAGCATCGGCATCCTCGTCTTCATCAACATCATCATCAGCATCATCAGCAGCATCGTCAGCACCATCATCAGCATCAGCATCATCAGCATCATCAGCATCATCATCACCACCATCATCATCAGCATCATCACCATCATCATCATCATCATCATCATCATAGGCATCGTCAGCTCCTTACGCATCTTCATCAGCAGCATCATCATCAGCATCATCAGCATCGTCAACAGCATCATCAGCATCATCAGCATCATCATCTGCATCGTCGCCATTACTGACGTGAGTATCATCATCATCATCATCATCATCATCATCATCATCATCATCATCATCATCATCATCATCATCATCGTCATCATCATCTTCATCATAGGCATCGTCACCAGGATCATCGTGAGTCGCATCAGCATCATCGTCATCATCATCAGCAGCATCGTCACCAGCATCATCAGCATCATCAGCATCATCATCTGCATCGTCGTCATAACTGACATGAGTATCATCATCATCATCATCATCATCATCATCATCATAATCATCGTCATCGTCATCATCATCATCGTCCGCATCATCACCAGGATCATCGTGAGTCGCATCAGCATCATCGTCATCATCATCAGCAGCATCGTCACCATCACCAGTATGATCCTCGTCATCGTCATCAGCATCACAATAGTCATCATCATCATCACCACCACCATCATCAGCATCATCACCACCATCATCAGCAGCATCATCGGCAGCAGCAGCAGCAGCGGCATCATCAACATCATCATCTCATCAGCATCAGCATCACCATCAGCATCATCAGCATCATCACCACCAACATTTTCATCATCATCATCATCATCATCATCATCATCATCATCATCATCATCATCATCATCATCATCATCATCATCATCGTCGTGATCGTCATCGTCACCGTCATGATCATGACCTTTTTCGTATCCCCTCCTACCCTTCCACCCCGTGCTCTTCCTCCAACCTTTGGAGCCCCAGGCGCCGCGACGACGACGGCGACGACGACTCTTGGCCCCCAGGGAGTCGCCAGTCCGCCGACCAGGCCGCCGTTCATCATTGCGAACGGCAGGGCGAGCACCTCGTCGTCGTTGTCGTCGGCGGCGTCCGCGGCGTCGTCGTCGGTGTCGGCGGCGTAATCATAGATGGCGGCGTCGTCGTCGTCGTCGACGGCAGCGCGTCGGCGCCGTCGTCGGCGGCCCCACCGAAGGCATCGCGCCAGGAAGTACCATAGCAGCGCCTCACCGCCAAAAAACTCGGTTCGCACGAGACGTCGGTCTCTTTTCTCCGCCCAGACACTCCACACGGCCTTGAAAACCATACGCCCGACGAAGTTGTTCGAAGCGCGGTCGCCGCGGGCATTCGTTCGAAAGCTAGCAGCAGCTGCGCAGATGGAGGGCGGCCCCTCTTCAGAATTGACTGATGGCTTGACGGTAACCATGATCAGATCTTGAGCGTCGTGCAGCTGCGTCACAGATTGAAGCCTCCTCTGAATTTTGCAAGATGACCGAGATAACCTGACGTACGAGTACTCTCCTCATGCACTTCTCCTAGCTCGATAGACCCCGTCAAGAAGGTCATTGGGATGCTGTGATCCTTGACGCTGACCGACGACAGCGCGGCACGCGCGCGCGGGCGGCGTGCCAGTCCTTTGACCCTCTACAATGCGCAAGGCGCGCAACGTGAGTTAGTACTTGAGCCAAAGAAGCGCAGAGTCATTCGCATGGAGACTTACGAGGACGGCGGAGGGGTTGGAAGTAGCGGCTCCCCCCGCGGCGGGCACCGGAGCAACTTCACCCCACGCGCCAGCCTTCGGCACACCGCGCTAGGTGGCGCCAACCTCGAAAGAATTTTACAGCGCCCACCATCCACACAGCGCCAACTCCTGCTGCAGAAGTGCAGCCTCGGTCGGTCGACAAACCCCTAAGTTGATTCGCCGGGCCCGCGGGGCACCCCAGCGCTGTTCGCTCAGCCCAGGCACCTCTTCCCCGCTGCTCGCTACGAGCTCGTTTACCTAGTCCAGAGGTCCTTCTCCCACTCTTATCAGACTCGTCCTTCCACGCTGACTTCACGCACTCATCCTTCCATGAGTTGCCTCGCTGCTGCTTGCTCCCCGAGCCCCGGTTGCTCCCGCTGGCACTGCCAGCCTCACTGCCCTTGCTCCATCACGAGGCATCATTCTTCCAGCAACCCTTGCAATCATCACCGCTCCACCGACTGTTGGATGAGGAGCACCGCAGCTCCCCTCGCATCCGTCCGTGCCGCCACCACGTCGTCCCCCTCTCCCTGGGGACCGGTACTGGCCGGCGGGGGCTCCTTCGGTGTCACCTGCTGCCGATTCCTCTCCTGTCCGCTCCCCGTGGAGGGGTCACCAGATCGAGAAGCATATGATGCCCTCTTGTTGTTCCACCAATCACGCTCGGAATCTGGGTCTGGCTCTCGACCAATAGCCTCGCTCGGACCACGAAATTCCCCAGCTGAGCCCGACCCTGGCGGAGGCGCGGGGAAAGGGGTCCACTTGCCAGCGGACGAGACAGCGGCAGCTCGTCTCGTCAGGAGTTGATGCCTCCGGTACGGGGCAGCCTTTGTCATCAAGGCAGCAATCGTGGTATGTAACACTTGCCGTGCTTTTCGATCGCTCCATCTGTTTTCCCCCATCTATCCCTTGATCTGTTCGAGTACCAGATCCACTACAAAACGGATGTACCTCAAAATTGATTTGCTCGTCAAATGTTCAAACTTACGTACCCTGTTCGTAGATCTAGGAGCACTATGTGCATTTTTCGTGGATTCAACGAACAAGCCAAGATTGGGGTAAATCAACTCTGTAGTCGAATCCCTACTTGGCTTGTGAGGGTCACTGACGTTTCATCCTCTTCCCGAAGATATCAAGGACATCTTTCATAGCAGCCCTAGAAGGCAGCATCGTACCGATAGCAAATCCTTTGGATAAGGGACAGGCAGCAAGGCCCATGAGGGACGCAGCCTCCACTGCGCACATGCCTAACCACATCTCTACGTGACACACTTCACCGTAGGCAACGCAATCACGGAACGGTTGCTTTATCTGTCCGCTGTCACGCAAATCCACAAGATCTGCACATCGGCGAGATGCCTCGATCACTACGCGGGCCACCGCTCGCGCACACCATTCCTTATCACCCGGGTGCCAGGACGTATGCCCTGCGCCCCTCGATCGATTCCATTCTGTCGTCGGCGTTCGGCCGATCGTTCCAGTTCCTGTTGTCTCTGGCAAGAACCACTTCATCGCTTCCGCAGTGAAGAACTTACGGGCAGACTTCGCATCTGCGTTTGTTTCCGACGCTGCCCCCTCGTCCGCCATGAATCCCATCGGCACGGGAAGAGTTCTATTGCTCTTGAGTGGGACCAAGACAGAAAAAGGCCAAAACCTAAAGGTGAATATCACATTTCCGTGATCAGTAATACATTCGCCGCTGCGAATCGCAGACGTGCTCGGCTCAGCGCCTTCTAAGGCCTTTCCAAGAAAACGACAAGAACGCATATTGTTGAATTAACCTGCCAGTTGCCAAGTGCAACAAGTAGCCACGATTAGGTGGCATCGCTCTCTGGGTCAAGCCACGGATATTCTCAAGCTTAGATCGACTCCGTTTTCCCTGGGCCGATCTTCCCATTCGTCGCCCAAATCGGTTTCCCTGGCCTTTCCGGGATCAATGAGGTCCAAATCAAAAACATTCAAGGGACCGAAGTCCGGAGCATACGGATTCGGAACGGTTCAAGAACAAAATTGGAGGGTGCATCAGCCTTAAAAGAAGGTTCTCGCCTGAATGGCATGCCCGATGAATCCTTGGCTTACTCTGGTCCCGTCCTCCCCCCCTTGTTCAAATTCCAGGGACCGGGTCGAGCCCATAAGAGAGAGAGAAGACAGAGAAAGGGACAAAGAAAGAAAGAAAGAGGAGGAGAGAGAGAGAGAGAACACGAAAAAAAGACCGAGGAAGACAGGGGAAGAGAGAGAGAGAGAGATGCAGAGAAAGAGAGAGATAGGTAGGAAAAGAAATAATGAACATAACAAAAACGAAAATCACCACTGACGACGACGACGACGAGGACAACAACGACGATGACGACGCCGACGCCGAGGGCGACGCCGATCACGCTGACGCCAACGCCGACGACAACGTCGGCGGCGGCGGCCAGCGGCGGCGGCCGCCGGCGGCGGCACTGGACAGCCTATGGCGCCCACCACGAGGGCCGCCGCCATGAAAACCAAACATCGCAAAAAGAATTACGTCGGGCATATCCTCCTACAGGCGAATTTGGACGAACAATCGAAAATAGCACCACACTTATATAGAACAACATATAACCAAAAATCGTCCCCAGACTATCTTTTGACTATGTTTGAATATTCCCCCTGTAGAGGGACAGGCCCGACTTAACAAAAGAGACGCAACTGGACCCCTCGACCCCACCTTCGGGCCCCATCTCTCTCAAGCCAGGTC